AGATTAGTCCAGTTAAAGAACATATCAAAAGGGCCTAAATCTAAATGAAATGATTTGCTGTAAATTAAGTTAAATGCTGTCTGAGTCACTTACGTGCGCCTGAAAGCGGCTCGTATATCCAGGCCCTCAGGAGCCCGGACATCTGTAAGGCAGAGCAGGAGCCCCCTTAATCACCTAACCTAAAACATCTCAAATCCCAAGTAAAATGCACTACAATAACAACTAGTACCCACCATGCACAGTCAAGTCAAAATTGCAGCTGTCAAACTTGTCCTTGGATGAAACCTCACATCTGTAACCTCCAGCAAAGTTAGCTTTGGCAGCAATGATATGCATCTCAAATGTGTACACCTGAAAACAAAGACATAATAACACAAGATTACATACAGATGGTATGATATCATTGCTTACTTATAGCATTTTTGCTGCTCAGTTCAAACCTCCATTGGCATATTTATGGTAGTAAATGTCTTGCTTTGCTTAGATTAAAAAAGGATAGCATTTACAGGTAGTTGCCCACTGTTACATAATACTGCTTCTTGTAGTTGTAGTCTTATTTTCTGCATATTTATGGGCTGATAAAGATTTAAAATTAAGATCATTTACCACTAAAACACAATAATAATGTATTTTTTTAATAGGATGGATCTACCTTAGTGTTGCGATCATAAGTTTCCTTTAACTGTAGGTGTTTTCCACTCTTGCTAGCCAAGTCCATCCATTTCCCTTTAAACCATTTCACGCTGGGTTTCTTCAGAAGAGATTCAGCATTTACTTTAGCCATAAATGTGATGTTTTCACCTGTATATGAGAAATATACATTTGGTTTTATTTTTATTTCACATGTAGCAATAAAGCTTTAAAGAGTTATCAGCATTGTAACATCTTAACTTTTTAAATGTTAACTTAAAGAGTTTCATTTAAAGTGTTTATAGTGCTTCATTTCTTATCGCTGCTGCACTTTAATGAAGATGTTAAAGTGGAAAAAAATGCAAATGATTAAATGTGAACGTTAGGTCTATGTCAAGAATCTATAATCAAGGATCATATAAGTCATTATGAAACCATGATGAACAGTGGGGTTGCTTGCCTGTATATTTGCAGATGTATCTGTGTGCGTGTGGGTGAAGGTAGAAGTTTGTGGTTATACGGTGCATGTGACTGTCTGACTACAAGGGGAGATTGGTTTCACGGCTCTGGTAGGGAAACTATTTTTAAGATTAATTGTTTTGGATGCCTTTTGCCCATAGACTTATAGAGATAGGTGCCAGCCCTCTGAGACCCTGAAGGATAAGGAGCAGAAGATGGATGGATGTTCTGAATTTGTTTCTGTTCCATTTTCCTGTTGCCAGTGGTGCAAACAGTGTATTGCCCTGGCAGATGGGATTTTTTGCAATGCTTTGACCCTTTTCTGGGCTTGTTGGTAGACAATCCCCTGCCCTATCCTGAAACGCCAACTTAGTCCATCCTATCCTGAGTTGTTTAGCTCCCATATCCCTGTCATGTCGAGACACAAGATGCTTTCAATCACAGTAAAAGTTTGAAAGCAGCCATGAGTTGAGAGGTGTTCTCCATCCAGGAGTAGTGAAGGAAAATGAGAATGCCTGGGAACTTTGTATTGCCAAACCCTCCCACTGTATGCAGAACAAAGTATGTTCAGTCTCCCTGGACCTCCATTAATCCTCCATAACCCCTTCAGTCTTGATAGTGTTAAGGATAAAATTTAATTATGATTTACTATGTACATGAATCGTATATAAAATCTGCTCACCAACAGTGACTTCTCCGCTCTGAGGTTTTTCCGTGAAGAGTCCAGTCAAGTCCTGCCTGGTGTCTGGAGGGTGTCCATCTGAAGAAAAATATAGGAAGGGTTATATTGCTGCATAATGTTAAGTTTGCTGCACTCCAAATTTATTTTAATGACAAAATAATAGCTGCACAACGGATCAAGTGATTTTCATGTTCATTCCTCTAGTAATTTTAGACATCCTGAATACTGGGGGACTCTTTTAACTTTGAGACTAAAAGCTGCTTGAACTTTTTTGTAGAAAACACAAACATTAAACAAAAATCAGTATTTACTGTTGGATAATTACATCTCTTTTATGAAAAAATAGGTTATAGATTCTAAAAAGGAGCGGACTCAAATTGGTGAAACAGATGATAAAGAACTATGAATGAATAGATAAGTCTTAACCTCTTTACTCTTTTAGGAAACTAGTCTCAGCATAGTGTTGTAATGGTTTATAGATTGTTCATATAATAAAATCCAACTGTAGGTATGTTTTGCACTCAAAGGACTAAAAATCATGAGTCTAGAAAAGTAAGAGGGTTTGAAAAGTGAAATGTGTGGGTGACCCGATAGTGGTACCCAGTAACTCACCCTCAGCTGGGTGAGCCTGATCTGTTGGAGCAGAGGTTTCTCCCTGTGTAGCTGCAGGAGGTGGAACCTGATCAGCTTTAACATCCCCAGGTTCAGCAGTGGGGGGCTCTACAGGAACCTCTATGTTTATTTCATTATGTTGATATCAAAACAACACACAAGAGAGAAAAAAAAATCAGTAACACAATAGGAATTATTATTATGTTTTCTTATTCCCAATTGAGAATACTAAGAGCATTTCATCTATGACATCACAATAACCATTTTTTATCTGAGTGAAAACATGCGTGGCTGAGCATTTAACTTAAAATAATCCTTTGTCTTATCATCTCTAAAAGGCCAGCCAACATTTCCACCTGTTATCAGCAGCCTCTTATTGTGGGCTCAGAGCCTGTTGAGTGATGGTTACTGATGGGTAAATAAAGTGCTGTTACTGAGGTTGAACATACAGCAAGAACATGAGTGGTGTACTTGTGGGCAGCTTCAGCCATGCATACACAACTTTTATTTTGTTGGCTTTCTTCTCAGCATTTGCCTTTACCTTGGAATTTAGACATCCTAAGGATGCAAGAGTAACTGTCTAGCAGTGCAATGCTATTCAGTCTCACAAAGCAAACAGAGGACAATACAGTGTTCAATAGCACTGGTGGTTTTGAAAGAAAAATTTGAAACATTTTAGGATTTAAAAAAAATATATGGGAAAACAAAGCATTTAAGGTACCTTAACAGATAATTTCCCCAAATTATCACTATGCACAAATCCGTAAATGAAACACTTAGCTAAACATACAAAGAAAGCACTATTATTATTATTATGTTTAAAGTTTTTCCTGGAGGGTAGGGTAGGCTTTTATATCTGGTATAATTTGCTTCCGTACATTTCAGTACTTCTACCTCTAGGGCACTAAGAGTTTTTTCACATTTAGTTCCCTAATACAGCAGATCCCAAACCATGTGTAGGCCCCCTCACAGCTTTTGCAAATTAATGGACAAGGCTACAAATTAATGTAAAAAAAAAAATCTAATTCTTTTATGCTTTTTCTTTTTTACTTTTATCTCTCTTGAAGCTCTAACTTCTACTTCTGTTTAGCATGAGATTACTAGTCAACATTTTTTCAATAGTGTATTATAGTCACACTAGATAACCAACCTTTCAACAAACTGTAGAGCCTCAAAGTACAGTTTTGAATCCTCTTTTTTAAGTTATGATATAATATTGCATTGTTTTTAAAAATGCAAATAGTTACTTTTGATTATTTACACCAAATTTTCTGAGGACCCCATAGTGTCCCCTGGCGAACCCCATGGAAGCTGTGAGCTTTTTTTTTTTTTCAGGAGCATCGTGTTCTTGTTTTGGAAGCCTGAAGTGTTTTGCAGAACTCGTGTACTGAACAGCACCAATCTCATATGCCTCAGCTTTTCCCAACAAGTTAGTGCTGAAATGTATGGTAAAAATGGTAAAAGTTCTGTCACTTTTTCAAGTCAGGAGATTTGACCTAAGCACTTTACACTACATTCAGTCATTCAACCAATTCACGCACACACTGATGGTGGCAAGCTACATTGTAGCCACAGCTGCCCCGGTTTTCACTGACAGAAACGAGGCTGCCATACACTGTGCCCTCAGACCACCATCAGTAGGCAATGCAGGTGAAGTGTCTTCTCCAAAGACAGAACAACACTGAAAGCTGGAGCCAAGGCTCGAACCAACAACCCTCTGATTAACACCCCATGTGACTTCATCTACAACACTTCAATATTTTGTAGGTCTGAACCCAGTAATTAGGCTAGTTGTTTTTATACATTTTTTCAATCTTAAATCAAATTGTAAACTGAGATTTATCGGTTGAAAAGTTTATTGGATATAAAAGTATTCATGTCATGTTAAACCAAATTGACCAAATATTTAAAAACCAACAGAAAACACTCTGTTCAAGAGATTTGATCCGAGGATGGAGAACGCAGTGGAGAAACATCATTAGCATGCAGTGCATCAGGTGTTAGCTCCCTCAGTGGTTTTCTGAATTGAGTGATCTGCTTTGTGCTCGGTGATAACTACGCATGCTGTGGATAAGTGATCAGAGGCCTCATATGTACAGCTGCAGCATGAAAGTCTCCCACCTGGCTTTGATACGACCCGCAGCTCAAACCTGACCTTTGAACCACCAGCAATCACAGCATAGACACTGTCATCTTCCATGGTGATATTTCTTATAGTGAGGGAGTGCTTGTTTCCATCGGCTGTCACAGCATATTTGTCGCCATTGGCAATGTCTTTTGAGTTGCACTGCCATTTCACTTTAACATCAGACTTCTCTGTCTCAGCTTCAAAAACAACGACAGAGCCTTCCTCTGCCTCCCGAGTCTTTGGTTTCTTGGTAAATGCTGAAACTAAAAACAAGGAGTCAAAATCTTTGAAATGTAAAGAAGTTTGACTGTGAACTTATTTTTTTTTATTGTGTCGCTGAGCGCTGATTCACTGTGTGTGCTGTGAGATCATTCAGCAGATTTATTCACTATCATTGCAAACATATGGAAATCTATATGGAAAAAAGAACAAGTCATATTTGGAAAGCGGCAACTTATTAAGCCTTAAGTCGCCTGCTTGAGAAAGGTGCATTGCTTCCTCTTATGTTGATTTCTACTCATTTGAATGAGAAAGCATTAGAGTGTTGAGAAACATCACCAGAAATACCATATAAAAAGGACCTCATTATAAACAGAATAAATTATTTGCATGCTAAGTTGTTACAAACATACACACCAGAGGTATATCCTAATTAAAAACAATAAATACCTACCAGCACATCAGAGGGCAAATTAAAGTTCATACATTTCAAACTCAATCATTGATAATCTTAATATACTTCACTGATCTCCTATTTACTAAGTGTAAATGTTTACAATTTGGGTGGCTTTTGCTTATACATACTATGGGCTGTTTGTTGCGACTATTTAGGCAAACTTTGACAGGTCAGTTGCTCTGATTAATCTTAAACACTTTTCAAGTAATGAAAAAAGGCTTATTGACTTTAGGAGTAACAATTAAGACTGGTTACTGGTTTTTGACATATCTCTTCCTATGTTTCAAGTCTGCAATGCATTTGTTGTGAGGCCAGTTGAAAGCCAAAGAAAATAACAATTTATATATTATTTTAAATTTGTCATTCATTGATGCAGAACAGATTTTTTTCTTTCATGAGTGAGTACAAGCAGAATGCATTGAATTAATGGATCCATGAGAATACTATTAAAGATTAAAATGTTAAGTTTCTTAAAAGGATATATAAGTGGCATCGCATTTAAGTCCCCCAAGAGTTTAAAATGTGATAAAAAAAAAAAAAACTAAAACACAACAGGAAGTTTGAAACATTAATGACACAACTGGGCAGACATTTAAAGAAAAAAAAAAACATTTTTCTTCCTTTGCCTTTTTAGGGAAGCATTGCCAGTTTACCAAATAAATGCTTTTTACTCTTATGGTCTTTACATCAAGTGCTGAGGCTTTGTTTTCTGTTCACTGTGAGAGGCTTTGCATACTTGCACTTTGCATCCCCTGCACCAATACAGTAACGTTCTTTACTCATGGTGATAAGAACAAGAACAAGGTTCCTTCTGGATGGATACATCATACTTCTGTGATGTAGGCAATTGCACCCTAACAACACTTATGTCTTTGGGCTTATTATCTTTTTATTTTGCCTGGAGAGATCACTCTTTAACACTTCTTACAGTGAATTTCTCTCAAACAGGACTTAAACTTCATCATTTCATCTAAGTTTAGCAGAGAAATGGAAAGCAGATTTTTTACAACTCTGGGCCCATATCAGCTGGAAATGAGATAGCAAAAACATTTCCGGTTGGCTCTTATGCTTTAGATATCTGCAAACTATTTTTCACACATAGCAGGTGTCTATCTGATAGGGTGTGTCATTATTATCCGTGTGTGGCCTGCTCTTCATTGCCAAAGCTAAAGGCATATTTCCCTTTTATTAAAGCTGGCCCATGAGAGTAACTATATTATCATTATCTATATCATATCTATACAGGCCGCTCTGTATCTTACCATTCTTTAACATAACATGATGATTTCTGCAGTAAAGACGATCACTTTTATCCTGACAAAAAAGAGCTTTCCAACAAACAGTCTTCTTCTTTAAATTATATTTACTGGCAATTATTTTTCAATTCAGTTAGAAGATAAAAACATATTAAGACTGACATTATGGGTGGTAATGATTACACATTTGATAGAAATGAGTCAAAAATGTAAGTTTAAATATCAGGTATCAGGAAAGGACCATGTTTGACAAAACTAAACATTGATAAACATTATAGAACTAATGGCAATGCACAGTGTCTTTAGTGATCTACAGAAAGAATAAAAACAGAACCATCCTATTTCCTTGTAAAGGTCTTCACACTGTGCCTGCGTAATACACCATCTGTTAAAGTTCTTGCTTTGTCCCTGTTTGGAAAAGTTGCTGCCCCCAAACAGTTGTCATCCTCAAAAGGGCTCTAAAAATAGTACAAGTAAAAGCTCTGATGGTGGAAGTGTTCAACACACAGCGTGGTTCGCCTGGAATCCTGACCTATATGTAGGTGTTACATAGATAGGGACACTATTTTCATGTTTAAATGTGGGACAGTTCGGCACAGGAGCATGGCGTGAAATAAAGAATAAATAAGTGAAGGATATATATATATATATATATATATATATATATATATATATATATATATATATATATATATATAAAAGCATAATAATTTTTCAGCTAGGCACATTAAAAACTCTACAATTTATTGCAGTTATCATCTCAAAGAGGAACCTAAACCTTTGTGTTACAATCCACATTGCAACACTTCCCATTGCATTCTCTGAAGGTCCTTCCATTTATTAACTATGTGTGAGCTTTTCCCTTGAATAAGGTCTTCAGGATATTTATTACGAAATGTTCATGACTTCCAGGTAACCTAACATGCAACTGCATGAGTACATACCCTGAGAGAACTAATGCATGCAAAGGGAAAAAGAATAAATGTCATTCCTCTCCACTGCAGTTGATCTCCAGTTGTATGCAGTTTGACAGGTTTATCCTACACATTTGCCTTTTTTCTAAAAGATATGGGTAGTAAAATTGCTGCTTTGGATGGCACGTCTGACCTCACTTCCTTTGTCATGCAACCACTAAGTTCAAATTGGAGGTCATTTTTATCTTAAAGCCTGTGCCTTCCTCTGTATGGATTACCCACATCAAAAGCAAACATCTGAGGTAACATGTGGTGATGGGGAAAGCTCACAAAATAAAATATTGTATGTTTCAGTTTATTTTTTGAGGATCATAAAAATTGAATTGATGGATTGGAAAACAAAAAAAAACCCAAAACAAAATAAAATGGTAGACTTATGAACTAAAATGATTTTAAAATGATTTCTCCATCAAAGAGACCGCAGGGTGTTAATAACAGCTATTAGTATAACTACAGGCTCAAGATGATCCAAACAATTACTGTGCTGCACAAATCCTTCACACTGCAGGCCTTATCACACACAAGTGAGCCATTTGGACACCACTGTGCCATCTGATAGCTCATACAAGCAGCTCATCCTGAATCTCAAAGGGAAAACCATGGCTATCATTTGTCACGTTGGAATCCTGTTGAGGATTTTGACTCTCTGGATGATTTTGAGTATGCAGCAATGTGGGAAATGTGACAAGTGTTGAGTTAACCTCATACAATGTCTCCACCTGCGGGTGCTTTGACAAGAGTTCCTGACGTGACTAAGTCGTTTCCTGCTGAAAGTGTAATGAATGTGGATCATGCTACTGCACCTGGTATGTGCTTTTTTTGGCACCCATGACTGTTATTACATCATGAAACTGAGCCACAGAAAACAATCTAGCTGAATTTGATGAGCTAAAACCATAATGCACATGTAGGTGTAATAATTAATGCTTCACAGTGTCATTTATGTTAAGCTTTATTTACTTGTAACACCTTGTACACATTTTAGTGTTTGTCAAATATCTTAATTCAAAGATTTACTAAACAAAAGTTAAAAACTTTGTTGATACTGTATCTGATGTTTACAGAAGAGGATTAAGGCAACTGAAAAAATGAAAAAAAAGTTAACTGATTTTTAAATTTCACTTCAGTCTAATGTGGGAAAAAAGTCAGAATTCTGACTTTAATCTCAGAATTTTGTATCTTAATATAGATGGGCACCATTAAAAAAGAGATATGGGAGCACTCAGCTTCACTGACAAAGATGTGAGTTGTTTGAGAGGGCCAGTGACACATTGATGGAAAATGATAGATTTAGGCGAATTTTTACGTGCCCTGATGGGTCTCCATTGATACTGTTTCTTTAATGGAAGAGCAGAAGGTGATTCAAACAAGAGAGCTAGTTTATTCTCTAAAACCGACATGGCTACGGCTTGATGAACATGTTTGTTAGCTGTCAGAATTCAGTCCGAATTCTGAGATTAAAGTCAATATTCTGACTTTTTTCCCATATTAAAGTGAAATAATATTTAAAAGTCAGTTAACTTTTTTTTTAGTGTCCCTAATCCTCTTCCGTACTGTTTGATTGTATTTCTTCATTTGTTTTATTTTGATAAAACACATACATATATAAAGTTATTGTGTCCCATAGAGCTGATAAATGAGGAAACATACCTTTCTTGGCTGGTTCAGGCATCCTGAATGATATCCTCGCTTTTCTACAGTATTACAACCGCTCCAGTTTGCTCCCAGGGTCAAACCTCTGCCTTTAGTAGTGGTCCTGTTTCCAAACCCAACCCACCCCTGCACCATTTTCCACCCCAAACCTAACACAGTGTGAAAAAAAAAAAAAACAGCCTCTGTTTCTTCATGAGAGCAATGACCTGTCTCCCACCACCCCACCCTGGTCATGTCTGACCTTGAGCTATATTTCGACCCTCCTTTCCACACCACCTCAGCTGAATGATAGGCCTTGAGAGTGTGGGAAGGGATGCAAAACAGCAGTTATAATTAGAACAAAGAATTCAGGAGAAGTTTTTGTTCTGTGTCCCATGTCTCAAATTTTCTTTGGTCTCTATCTGCCTAACACAGGCTGTATTCTCCCTTTAATTAAAGATAAGACTTAAGTCAATTTTTTTTATTAAAGATAATAAGTTCTGTAAAGCTGAAACACTCTGGACTACTATTCCTCTAAATATCTTTTCAGTGCAACTGCACAAAAAACACATACCTTTAAAACATAGTTCAGAACAGTTTTCAAATCTGCTTAAGAAAAACAAATACAATGTATAAATATTGTTATAGCAGTGCTTTATCAAACAGTGAAAAACATTTTTATCAAGATGTTACATTGCTTTAAAGAGGGGCAGAAAAGAACTGGCAGGAGGTTTGGTTTCATTTTGACAGTTTATAAAAAACAAGTATGCATAGAATAAGGATTGATATGGAGTAAACAAAATGATAAAAATCTAATCATTCAAAAAACTGTCAGTGTTGTATTTAACAAATTCTTCACTGAGAGAATCCAGTTATTTTTAATATTGTATTTTTCTAAATAGAAAGGTCAGACTACCAGTTGTACTTGAATGCACTGTAGAAGCCACCTGTTGGGGAAAACCCTGTTGCCAAAGTGACTCTTCTGTCGGTAGTGATATGTGGTTTTATATCTGCTGCTTATGAAGCCTTAAATGACATTTGGGATGATTGAAGGCTATAGGGAACTGGATTAAGATTTTTGCCTGCTTTTTCGCTGGACCAACGAAGATTGCATTCACTTTATTGTCATTTTAGGTAAGTAGTTATGTCATTTCAATCTGAAAAACTCACACGAAGAGAAAAGACAATTAGGAGAAATTTATTAATACAATTACTTTGTCTTTGGTGCTCAGGCCTCGGCAGGAAACATAGCGCTTAAATTTGATAGACATGCATGAACAGGAGCAAAGAATAGGTCTGTTTCACCCACAGGCCTGAAACTGGTGGTGGAGTGGAGCAGAGATGGGAAGTAACGAAGTACAAATACTTTGTTACTGTACTCAAGTAGATTTTTCTGATATTAAAAATACTTAGTTAAGC